AGTGCAATAAAAATATGATTATTATAAGACTGTTGTGCCACGGAACAGAAATACTGAGAATATTAGAGAAATAAAGGGTGAAAATAACATTAAATCCTATAAAGTGACTCTAAATTCTCCACATATTATAAAGAAAAACATTATAACACTGAGGATTACTGAGATATGAAAGTACTGAGGCTCCACTGACGCACTTCAGCTCAGAAACATCAGCGATGTGTTAGAGGAATATCAAAAATATGACCAAACCAGTCTCCTCTTACAGAAACTGACCCGCACGGTTAATTAATGGAAAGTGGCGGTGTCACGGCACGGCTCGGCTCGGCTCGGCAAGACAAGACACGGGGTTGCATAGGAACAGAGGAAACAGAGTCTCTGGAGGACGAAGTGCTCCGACCCGGACTTTAAAACCTGAACCTGCGTCACTGAAAATCACAATCTGTCGAAATGATTCATAAAAACGGGATTTAAACCAAAATAAATGAGATTATTCTAAAGGAAAACTCTGCTTTTAGTTTCTATTTTTCATTTATAGCAGATTAAATGCATAAATAAGAGTTTTAATTACTGTTAATTACCTGAAACTATGATTATATGTGGTGTTGAACTGATTAAAGTTATATTGTGGATATTTCTACAAAAGAAATGAATAAAAAATCTAATATTTGTGGTTGACAGAGGGTTTTTGTTCAGTGTCGCAGGTGTTTAGTCTCGTCAGGAGCTGCGGGCTTTGAAAGGTCAGAGTTCACCCTGAACAACATGATTATTCTCAACCTTCACACAACAATAAAAGAAGAAGCTCGTGGACTCACATGTGAAACTCCTGCGTTAAAAGCTGCGGGTGTGGATCTCTCTGTCCGTCACACCATCACCGCTCCGCCGCGTCCCGCTCACAGCTGCCAAATCCCATCCGGAGAGGAGGCGCGCAGTGGCCGATCCATGAGCGAAAAACTCCGCAAGAAGACAAAAGTGTTTGGGGGGTAAAATCTCTCAGTGGTCGGGGGGTGGGGGGGGTGGATAAGAGGAGGAAGTGTGGTTGTTTAAATCCAAGCAGAGAGATAGTGATGATGAGATGGATGAGGAGAGGCGGGAGCGCAGAAGTGTCCCTCCAGCAGCGGCACGGGGAGCGGACTGTCGCGCTTCAGCCCAGCCGGGGAGGGGAAAGTGCGCACCGGGCTGCCTCACTCCGTCCGCTCCGCTTCCTCCGGCATCTTCACAACTTGAGCCGCTGTAATCCTCCGGCTGCGGCTCCCTCTGACTCCCGCTGTGACCCCGGGAAACGCGCTCCTCCGCCTCAGGAACACGCTTTTAATTTCTTCTCATCCTTTTCAGGTGTGATAATTAACAAGAGCACGCGCCTCCCAAATAAAAGTCCTCCCGCGGCTCCAGCTGTTGCTTTTATTCTATTTTTTTCTTTTCCAGAAAATTAAGTGAAGGCGGGAAAAGTGGGAAGTTTTCCCCGTCAGACCGGAGTGTTTTGCTGCGTTTCGGTGCGTCGGTAGGTCGGTAGTTGGTAGGGCTGACCGGCCGGACTCCCATCATCCCCGCCGCTTGATCGCCCCTGGACGCGGAGAGAGAGAGGGAGGGAGAGAGAGAGAGAGAGAGAGAGCGAGGGAGGAAGAGGGGGAGTATCGCGAGGTTACGCCCCAAGTCCCGTTTGTCTCGGACACGCGCGCACACGCATGCAGAAATACATGCAAAAACACACTTGCTCATGCACACAACCACACGCATACACACACACACGCACACACTGTTTTGCTCTCATACCGAACCACACTGATATGATTTTCTTCATAAGGTCACCACCCACAAACTTCTTGACACGCACTTCACGGCCAAAAGTATGTGGACACCTCTCGGTCACATTCTTCTTTAATCCTGGTCTGTTTTTCCTGGTTTGAGTTTTTTAATCCCAGTGAAGGAAAACCTTGATGATTGCAGATCTTCCAACTTTGTGTCTGTGCTTTTCCAGTTTCAACATAATGATCTGCACTGACCTCTGACCTCAACCTCATCACCTGCACCAGCGCTGAACCTCATCACCTGCACCAGCGCTGAACCTCATCACCTGCACCAGCGCTGGACCTCACTGAGGCTCTGATGAGCTGAGAGACTGAGAGCAGGAGAGTGGAGGACATGAATGACCATGGCGTCACGTTCACATGATCCAAAATAACATAAAAAATGTTTCTTTGATGACAATAAACTGGAAACACCTCCTCATGGTCGTATCCCTCCGCCCCTCAGACTAGTTCCTGGTTACATCCCTGTTTATTCAGTCGTATAAAATATTAACCATTTGTATGAAATTTTGTCATAATTATCTTGAGTAATGGTTAAAAAGTGTTTTGTGAGGTCACCATGACCTTGACCTTTAACCACCAAATTCTAATCAGTTCACCCTTGACTTCTAGTGATTGTTTGTGCCAAATTTGAAGAAGTTCCGTCAAGGTGTGACTGAGACATCGTGTCCACGAGAACGAGACGGACAACCTGAAAACAACATGGCTGCTGCTCTGACTGTCGCCGGCGTGGAGGAATAAAAATGTCTGACCTCGTGTGACTGTCTCTGTGATCATGTGAGGAAAATAATGTTCAAATGACCATTTATCATCCTAAAGTCGTTAACTCACAAAGTTGATCATTTGAAATGAAAATCATCAATTAATAAATGTCCTGAAAAATAACAGTTCAACAAAAACATGAACTTTCTTCTAAAGAGAAGATTTGAGTCATTTCAACATAAAAAACTCAAAATGTAAACTTTACTAAAACAGTTTCTCCTGTTGTCACTTCTTCTCCCTGCTGTGCACCTCCCACCGTGATCAATTATTTCCCAGCATGCCGCTGTTTCCAGTGAGTCCACAGTGTGAGGTGTGTGAGAGTCTCCCCCTTGTGTGTGTTGTGAGTTATTGTCATGATGGTTTTGGTTTTATAAGGAAAACTGTGATAATAATTATAATAATAATAATTAGTCATTATTATTTTATATTAATATTATTATAAATTATTATTATTATCAGCCTGTCAGTTTTCTGACTCAATGAAAAATAATTTACACACCAGACTGGGTTTGTTTTTATTCAATTTAAGAAAACTATTCACACATTAATCTGATTTTAAGAGGCATCCCTCAGAGTGTGTGTGTGTGTGTGTGTGTGTGTGTGTGTGTGTGTGTGTGTGTGTGTTAAAGGGGTTAATGCGGGGATCACAGAAGGCATGTGACACACGATCTTTATCAGCAAAGATGTGTGTATGTTTAGTTTGTGTGCTTGTGTGTAATGTATATGGATGCCATTTTGTGTCTGTCCAGAGTGTGTGTGTGTGTGTGTGTGTGTGTGTGTGTGGGTGTGTGTGTGTGTGGGTGTGTGTGTGTGTGGGTGTGTGTGTGTGTGTGTGTGTGTGTGTGTGCTCTGTAAACCTGACCACCTGTCAGTCTGGCTGTAAATCTTCCATCCGTCATCTGAACTCAAACTGTCGGCAGCAGGAGAAACAAAGGTAACTGCAGTCTCTCCTTTTCTGTGGCGCGTCAGTTTTTCCTCTCTGAACACAAGAAAACACGAGTAGAAAAACCAAACTGTCATTGTGATGTACAGGTCAGACCATCTCAAACCTAACGGGTCACAGGTTCGATCCCCCACAGCTGCTAGTGTAAGATGTTGTTTTCCGACACTGCAGCTGCTCTTTTTATTTCAGTTGTTACTAAATGTTCCGTCCCTCCAGGATTTCACAGGCTTTTGGGATTGTTGCTTAAAAACCTGATTTCACAGCAGCTTTTCTAAAAAATTGTGATGCATGTTGTGATGTTTTTAGATTTCAGATAAAAATAATCTTTATTTGTGAACGACAAAGTAAGTGCAACTTGGAGAACAGAAAAAACTTTCTTCAAGCTCAAACTGCAAAAACAGCAAAAAAAAAGTGATGAACTACATCATCATCATCATCATGAAACACTGATGTTTCCAGGAGGCGGCCTGTGACAAAATAAAATAATGAAAATAGAATAAATAAATAAAATAAAAAGAGACTGATCAATTTCAAAAGCTTAAGTGCACAGAACCTAACAGTAAAAACAATATAAAACACATGAGCATCTTCTCATGTGAGGAACTGGGATGTTCTGCCTCCTGACTCCCAGTCTGTCAAATGTTACACTACAGCGCCATCTGTAGGTTAACAGGTGGAAAAGCACTCACTGCTCCGTATCTGATGAAAACGTCCCATTTTAAGTTTGTTCAGATCTTTTGTTTCAAAGAGACGTTTTTCATTCGTTCGTAAATTCTTGCCAAAGATGTTAAACCCCAAATAAAACCACCATTTTGATCAGAGCTTGAACAGGAAATATAATATTTCAGAGAGTAAAAGCGTCTGAAATAATATGTTAAAATCTTTATATTTTAGTTTTAACAACACAGTACTAAAAGATTTTCCCTGGATCTATGAATTTCACTTGAAGACTTTCCAGACCACAGAAAAACCTGTGTTCATTTATCTGTCTGTCTGTCAATGACAACTGAATCTATTTATGTGCTTTACATTAAAATGCATGTGCAGACACAAACACTGTGATTTTAGATGAATACATGAACCAGAACAAGGTTTCAATATAAATCATTTGACTTTATAGTCACTGATATAACCTTAAAGCTACTTAAGGGGAAACTGGATTAAAAGAATTAAAGAAAGAAATAAAATGCCACAGCTTCCTGTCTTGGCAGCTGAACTTGATGTCGATGTTGATGTGTATTAGTTGTATCCATGTCACAGGTTTGAACCCAGCTTGTCTCCTTGTGTGTTCTCTGTCTGAGTGCAGATGAGACAAAAACACACTGTTCTATGTTCGAGTCTCAGCTGATTGTGGATGCAGCAGCAGCACCACCTGCTGTCCAAGACAACAAACTAGCAGCTGAAGTCATGTCTCCTCTCCATCTGTTCAGAAGCAGTGAAGGAGTCTCAGTGTTTGCAGACATTGTGGAGAAGGACAGAGCAGCATCAGTCCAGAGACACTGATGATGTTCTGTCAGGTCCAGAGGAACACACAGGGATGATGGTGGACTGGACTCTGTGTGTGACAGTGGAGCTGTTCTCAGATCAGTTCAGACTGCAGCACTGAGAGTCATCTCCACTTCTTCTGATTCCTCTGTCAGTCACTGCTGGATGAAGCTCTCCTCTCCTCTCCACCTCCCAGTAACATGGTCCAATCAGAGCCTCTCTACACACCAGCTGCTGCTGCTGCTTCAACATCTGGATCATCAGGACACAGCTCATCCTCTGTAAACACACACATTGCTTTCTGAGGACTCAGGGTCTTACAGAGATGGCAGCAGAAATGGTGAGGCCACTGACTCCAAGATGAGGTTAAATGATTCCCATCTGTTGAGAGAAGACAGACAACAGAGGTGATAAACTGCTGAGAGTCATGAAGGATAATCACTGCACCAACAGTTTAGTGATGGATTTAATGTTGTTACATGTCAGCTGATGTCACATTTAAACAAATAGTCTGTGTGTCATCTGATCTGCTTCTTAGATATCACCTGTCAAATAAAAATGGAGGCTGTCACTGAAAGTAACTGACAGATGGACAGATATACAGATGTGATTACTGGACTTCAGCAGAGGTTCGGGTCCGTATAAATATCACATGATCACAAAACATCATGATGCGAGCCAGTGATTTGCAGCTTCAGTCAGACTGATCTCAGAGCTGACATGAACACAACAACAACAGTCGAGTTCACATCAACTCAAACACATGATCACAACAAGCTTCTGACTGTTCTCTCTCTCTGTCTCTCTGTCCAGTCATGAAGCCTGTCACCGTTCTCCTCTCACAGCTTCACTGAGGGAAGCAGCTACTGAGAAGGTCGGAGGTTTAGAGGAAACAGAAATGTAATACAACACCATTGAAAAGCAGCATGGACAGTATCCAAACAATCTACTGACCCCAGAGTCTCCAGTCGACAGTATGGACTCTCCTTAAGATCACACAGCTCCTTCAGGTCTGAATCCTGCAGATCATTTCTACTCAGGTCCAGTTCTCTCAGGTGGGAGGGGTTGGACTTCAGAGCTGAGGCCAGAGAAGAACAGCTGATCCCTGACAACCTGCAGTCCATCAGTCTAAATAAAGAATAAAACATGTGACAAAGTTGCTGCTTGAAACCGTTCAATGTTTCATCTTCTGTTCAGAGTGGAAGGTTTAGAAAGTTCAAGTTTAGAAAATGAAACTCAAACACCTGAACTGACAAGATGCAGGTTAAAAACACGCTGCTCCTTCAGTAAAGACATAGTAACTCCACGTCTTAAACTCTAAAAACTAAACAACACAAAACAACAGACTTTCACATCATATTCATCTCAGTCGCGCTTCAGCCCAGCCGGGGAGGGGAAATGCGACACCGGGCTGCCTCCACTCCGTCCGCTCCGCTTCCTCCGGCATCTTTCACAACTTGAGCCGCTGTAATCCTCCGGCTGCGGCTCCCTCTGACTCCCGCTGTGACCCCGGGAAACGCGCTCCTCCGCCTCAGGAACACGCTTTTAATTTCTTACTCATCCTTTTCCAGGTGTGATAATTAACCAAGAGCACGCGCCTCCCAAATAAAAGTCCTCCCGCGGCTCCAGCTGTTGCTTTATTCTTTTTTTCTTTTCCAGACAAATTAAGTGAAGCGGGAAAAGTGGGAGTTTCCCCGTCAGACCGGAGTGTTTTGCTGCGTTCGGTGCGTCGGTAGGTCGGTAGTTGGTGGGGCTGACCGCCGGACTCCCATCATCCCCGCCGCTTGATCGCCCCTGGACGCGGAAGAGAGGAGAGAGAGAAGAGAGGAGAGAGAGAGAGAGAAGAGACAAGAGAGAGAGAGATAGAGAAGAGAGAGAAGACGGATGAGAGAGAGAGAGAAGAGGGAGGGAGGAAGAGGGGAGTATTCACGGTTACTCCCCAAGTCCCGTTTGTCTCGACACCGGCGCGCACACGCATGCAGAAATACATGCAACAAAACACACTTGCTCATGCACACAAACCACCAGTCATACACACACACACGCACACACTGTTTTGCTCTCATACTGAACCACACACCAATGATATCATTTTCTTCATAAGGTCACCCACCCCACAAACATCGTTCTTGACACGCACTTCACGGCAAAAGTATGTGGACACCTCTCGGTGTCACATTCTTTCTTTAATTCCTGCTCTGTTTTTACCCTGGTATGAGTTTTTTAATCCAGTGAAGGAAAACCTTGGATGATTGCAGATCTTCCAACTTTGTGTCTGTGCTTTTCCCGTTCAACATCAATGATCTGCACTGACCTCTGACCTCAACCTCATCACCTGCACCAGCGCTGAAGCCTCATCACCTCACCAGCGCTGAACTCATCACCTGCACCAGCGCTGAACCTCATCACCTGCACCAGCGCTGAACTCATTTCACCTGCACAGCGCTGAACCTATATCACCTGCACCAGCGCTGGACCTCACTGAGGCTCTGATGAGCTGAGAGAGCTGAGAGCAGGAGAGTGCGAGGACATGAATGACCATGGCGTCACGTTTCACATGATCCAAAAATAACAATAAAAAATTGTTTCTTTGATGACATAATATAAAATAACACCTTCCTCATGTTCGATTCGCCTGCCCTCAGAACTAGTTACCTGGTTACATCCCTGTTATTCAGTCGTATAAATATTAACCATTTTAATAATATATATTGTCAAAATTATCTTGATAGTATGGTTAAAAAGTGTTTTTGTTGAGGTACATTGACCTTCTTTAACCACCAAATTCTAATCAGTTCACCCTTGGACTTCTAGTGATTGTTTGTGCCAAATTTGAAGAAAGTTTTCCGCTCGAAGGTGTGAGCTGAGAACAATCGTTGCCACAGAGGAACGAGAAGGCGACAACCCTGAAAACAACATGGCTGCTGCTCTGACTGTCGCCCGCGTAGGAGAATAAAAAATGTCTGACCTCGTGTGACTGCTCTTCGTGATCATGTGAGGAAAAATAATGTTCAAATGACCATTTATCATCCTAAAAGTCGTTAACTCACACGAAGTTGATCATTTGAACATGAAATCATCAATTAACTAAAATGTCCTGAAAAATAACAGTTCATACAAAAACATGAACTTTCTTCTAAAGAGAAGATTTGAGTCATTTCAACATAAAAAACTCAAAATGTAAACTTTACTAAAACAGTTTCTCCTGTTGTCACTTCTTCTCCCTGCTGTGCACCCCCCACCGTCGATCACATTATTTTCCCAGCATGCCGCTGTTCTCCAGGAGTCCTACAGTGTGAGGTGTGTGAGATCTCCCCCTGTGTGTGTTGTGAGTTTATGTCATGATGGTTTTTGGTTTTAATAAGGAAAACTGTGATAATATTATATATAATAATAATTTAGTCCATTTATTATTTTATATAATATTATTATAAATTATTATTTATCTTATCAGCCTGTCAGTTTTCTGACTCAATGAAAAGTAATTTACACACCAGACTGGGTTTGTTTTATTATTCAATTTAAGAAAACTATTCACACATTAATCTGATTTTTAAAGGCATCCCTCAGAGTGTGTGTGTTGTGTGGTCTGTGTGTGTGTGTGTGTGTGTGTGCTGCTGTGTGTTAAAAGGGGTTCAATGCGGGGATCACACAAAGTGCAATGTGACACCACGATCTATCAGCCAAAGAATGTGGTGTATGTTTAGTTTGTGTGCTTGTGTGTAATGTATATGGATGCCATTTTGTGTCTGTCCAGGTGTCGTTGTGTGTGTGTGTGTGGTGTTGTGTGCTAGTGTGTGTTGTGTGTTGTGTGTGTGTGTGTGTGTGTGTGTGTGTGTGTTGTGTGTGTGTGTGTGTGTGTGTGTGTGTTGTTGTGTGTGTGTGTGTGTGTGTGTGTGTGTCTGTGTGTCTCTGTAAAACCTGACCACTGTCAGTCTGGGCTGTACAATCTTCCATCCTCATCTGAACTCAAAACTGTCGCAGCAGGAGAAACAAAGTAACTGCAGTCTCTCCCTTTTCTGTGGCGCGTCAGTTTTCCTCTTCTGACACAAGAAAACACGAGTAGAAAAAACCAAACTGTCATTGTGCATGTACAGGTCAGACCATCTCCAAACCTAACGGGTCCAACAGGTTCGATCCTCTCCACCACTGCTAGTGTAAAGATGTATTGTTTTTCAGACACTTGCACTGCTCTTTTATAGTTTCAGTTTGTTTACTAAATGTTCCGTTCCCTCCGAGTGACTTTCACAGGCTTTTTGATGTTTGCTTAAAAATACCTGATTTCACACAGCTTTTCTAAAAAAATTGTGATGCATGTTGTGCATGGTTTTTTGTAATTTCAGATAAAATAATAATCTTTATTTGTTGAACGACAAAGTAAGTGCAACTTGGAGAAACAGAAAAAACATTTTCTTCAAGCTCAAACCTGCAAAAACAGCAAAAAAAAGTGGATGAACTACATCATCATCATCATGAAACAGTGATGTTTCAGAGGAGGCGGCCTGTGACAAAATGAATAATGAAAATAGAATAAATAAATAAAATAAAAAGAGACTGAGCAATTTCAAAAGCTTTAAGTGCACAGAACCTAACAGTAAAACACAATATAAAACACATGAGCATCTTCTCATGTGAGAACTGGATTTCTGCCTACCTGACTCCCCAGCTCCTGTCAAATTTAGCACTACAGCAGCCATCGTAGTTAAACAGGTGGAAAACACTCACTGCTCCGCGTCATCTTATGGAAAACGTCCCATTTTTAAGTTTGTTCAGATCTTTTGTTTCAAAGAGACGTTTTTCATTCGTTCGTAAATTCTTGCCAAAGATGTTAAACCCCAAATAAAACCACCAATTTTGATCAGAGCTTGAACTAGGGAAATATAATATTTAAACTGAGAGTAAAAGCGTCTGAACATAATATGTTAAAATCTTTTATATTTTTAGTTTTAAACAAACACAGTACTAAAAGATTTTCCCTGGATCTATGAATTTCACTTGAAGACTTTCCAGACCAGCAGAAAAAACCTGTGTTCATTTATCTGTCTGTTCTGTCAATGACAACTGAAATCTATTTATGTCTTTACATTAAAATGCATGTGCAGACACAAACACTGTGATTCTAAGATGAATACATGAACCAGAACAAGGTTTCAAATATAAATCACTGTTGATATAGCCAACTGATTATACACCTTAAAGCTACTTAAGGGAAAACTGGATTAAAAGAATTTAAAGGAAAAGAAATAAAATTGCCACAGCTTCCGTGTCTTGGCAGCTGAACTTGATGTCGATGTTGCTGTGTATTAGTTGTATCCATGTCACAGGTTTGAACCCAGCCTTGTTCTTCCTTAGTGTGTTCTCACTGTCTGAGTGCAGATGAGACAAAAACACACTGTTCTATGTTCGAGCTCTCAGCTGATTGTGATGCAAGGCAGCACCACCTGCTGTCCACGACTCAACAAACTTAGCAGCTGAAAATCATATCTCCTACTCCATCTGTTTCAGAACATTGAAGGAGTCTCAGTGTTTGCAGAACTTGGAGAAGGACAGACAGCACATCATCGTCCAGAGACCACTGATGATGATGGTTCTGTCAGGTCCAGAGGACACTACATCGGATCATGGTGGACTGGACTCTGTGTGTTGACAGTGGAGTGTTCTCAGATCAGTTCAGACTTCAGCACTGAGAGTCATCTCCACTTCTTCTGATTCCTCTGTCAGTCACTGCTGGATGAAGCTCTCCTCTCCTCTCCACCTCCCAGTAAACATGGTCCAATCAAGCCTTCTCTACACTACCAGCTGCTGCTGCCTGCTTAAACATCTGGATCATCGCGACACAGCTCATCCTCTGTAAAACACACCACATTGCTTTCTGTAAGACTCAGGGTCTTACAGAGATGGCAGCAGAAATGGTTGAGGCCACTGACTCCAAGATGAGGTAAATGATTCCCATCTGTTGAGAGAAGACAGACAACAGAGGTGATAAACTGCTGAGAGTCATGAAGGTTCATCACTGCACCAACAGTTTAGTGATGATTTAATGTTGTTAACAATGTCAGCTGATGTCACATTTTAAACAAATAGTCTGTGTGTCATCTGATCTGCTTCTTAGATATCACCTGTCAAATAAAAAGGAGGCCTGTCACTGAAAGTCTAACTGACGATCGACACGATATACAGATCGTGATTACTTCGGACTTCAGCAGAGGTTCGCGGTTCCGTATAAATATCACATGATCACAAAACATCATGATGCGAGCCAGGTGATTTTGCAGCTTCAGTCAACCTGATCTCAGAGCTGACATGAACCACAACAACACATCGAGTCTTCACATCAACTCAAACACGATGATCACAACAAGCTTTCTGACTGTTCTCCTCTCCTGTCTCTCTGTCCATCATGAAGCCTGTCACCTCTCCCTCTTCCACAGCTCACTGAGGGAAGCAGCTTACTGAGAGAAGGTCGGAGGTTTAGAGGAAACAGAAATATGTAATACAACACCATTGGAAAAGCAGCATGGACAGTATCCAAACAATCTACTGACCCCAGAGTCTCCAGTCGACAGTATGGACTCTCCTTAAGATCACACAGCTCCTTCAGGTCTGAATCCTGCAATCATTTTCTACTCCAGGTCCAGTTCTCTCAGGTGGTGAGGGGTTGGACTTCAGAGCTGAGGCCAGACGAAGAACAGCTGATCCCTGACCAACCTGCAGTCCATCAGTCTAAATAAAGAATAAAACATTGTGACAAAGTTGCTGCTTGAAACCGTTCAAATGTTTCAATCTTCTTTCAGAGTGGAAGTTTAGAAAGCTCAAGTTTAGAAAATGAAACTCAAACACCTGAAACCGACATAGATTGGCGTGCCCCCCCCCCCCCCCCCCCACCCTCCCCCCCCCCTCGGTTTCG